TTCCTGATTGTAGCTGTCATCGGTGTCGCCGCCGCTGAATCGAAGAAGAACGGTGCGATTCGAAAGCTCCAGAAATCGGTTGATCTCAGGGTTCGTAGTATTTGCCTGATTTGCGAAATTTTCGTTCGTTTTTGATGGTTGATTTGATTAAACATATAGCGAATTTCTCGGATTTGTTTAATTAAAGCACTTGGGGTTAGTTCATGATTGTGTTCAATTATGCTTCAATTTACGTTACTTGTTTTTGAATTCCATATAATTTTTGCGTTTATCTCTCTAGATCTCGACCTTTTAAGTGATTCTAAGTGTGTTCTTCTGACTGCAATTGTTCTGATATAATCTGTGTGGTGGTGGATTTTGCAGGATCAGCTTCTTTCAAGCATGCAACAAAAGCTGGACGATCTGTGTCAAGAGCTAAATCTTGTCAAGGATCAGTCTGGAAATGGAACCAAAGTCTCCTCAGATAGTGATGATTTACAATTAACTCTTCAAGAGAAGTTTGGATCTGAGAAAATTAATTTCGTAGATTGTGGTTGTTGGCTATGTGATCAACATCATCACTCATCACCTGCTATTCAGGTTTGTGTGTACTCTCTTGCTTTTTAATCGCATATCATTGAAATCACTGAGCATTCCGACTGATCATGTTCTCTCATATGTTCTGTGGTTTAGGACAAAGCTCACACAAATCCGGTGATGATTGACGCAGAGCCAGAGGAAAGGCGTATGTCTTACATGTCAGATTGGTGTTCTAGTGCCACTTCTGCTGCAGAAATCCATGTATGTTGTGCATGAAACTATCTTTGTTGTGGATCTTGTGTTGTTTTGTTGCAAATGAAGATGACTTGGTTTGATTGTTTATTTGCAGTTTGATAATCTCTCACTCGACCAAGACATGATTTCCCTCAGAAAAGAGTGTCAAGAGAAAGATGCAACAATAAAGGACTTAACTTCATTTCTTCAGTTGACCAACAAAGCTGGTTCAAAAGTAAGACTTTTTCAAATTCCCTTTAAATTCTGTTTTTGGTTCCTCCACACAACAAACATGTTACCCTTCACTCTTTAACAGCGAGAAACAGAGCTTGAAGAGATTATTAGTAGGAAGAAGACGATAATTAAGAAGCTCAAGAGGGACGTATTAGTGTTAGAAGAAAAGGTGAGAGAAACTTGACCAACATTTACTACTTTCAGTACCTTAAAAGTTCGATTTTTTCATCACAAAATGTTCCTGGTAACAACATCAGCATTGAAAGATCGTTCTTTATGTTACCGTCTGTTTCGGTTGTGAAATGTGCAGGTCACACAGCTCACTAGGCTCCGGAGGTCCTCCTACTCACCCGCAAGCTCAAATACCCGTGAATTCCCAATGAGACTGGACAATCTGCTTTATGATATGGATGTTTCTACAGCTTCTTCATCCTCTGATTCAGAAACTCCTGCAAACACACCCCAACGAGCTGTGTTGGAGGAGGCTCCAGTTGATTCCATGAAAAAGGAACCTTCAGCATTGGGACAAACCCATAAATCAGCTTCAGTTGATTCAACGAAGGAGGAACAGCCTTCAGCTTTGAGACAAACCCATAAATCAGCGCCGGCTAAATCCTCGGCCTCATTTGTGAAATCTGTGAAGCCGCCTTCAGTAGTGAGTCCATCGACTAATTGGAAGCCTGT